TAGTAATAATAATAATAATAATAATAATAATAATAATAATAATAATAATAATAATAATATATATTTATATAATTTTATATAAATAGTTTATAGAACTCGTATCTTCGAGGTATAACAATTGGTAATAATAGTAATAATAATAATAATAATTATTATTATTATATAATTTTATATAAATAGTTTATAGAACTCGTATCTTCGAGGTATAACAATTAGTAATAATAATAATAATAATCATAATATATTTATATAATTTTATATAAATAGTTTATAGAACTCGTATCTTCGAGGTATAATTATTGCATTTACGATAGGATCGTATTATATATTATCGTTATTATATATTATGTAATTATTTAAGAAAAAACTGTGTCGGAAGAAGGCTACATGAACAGACAAATTCTAGTAAACTGATTTCAAGGTCTCGCATGCTGTTTAGTTCGTGCAAAACACAGCGGTTCACGCTTCTTTTGTTGTTTTCTTTTTTTTCGCGTGTGAACTGGACGCCGTCCAAGGCCATCGCGGCAAGTTGCATCCGGCAAGGAGATTCCGGGAACAAATGAAAAATATATTATACAATCTAGTCGTACGAAGACGTAATTGTAAATCAGACTGCGGATCGCGTTGCGCGAAATAAAAATTGTCCGACGTGAATTGCAGGACGTGGGAGAGCCGAGCGCGATCTTGATTCTCTCTCGAACAAGATTTTAGTAAGTTGCAACATTAATATTACATTAACATTATATAATATTATATATAAAATAATATAATATATAATTTAATATTATATATTATATAATATTATATATAATATAATATAATATATAATTTAATATTATATATTATATAATATAATATAATATAATATATTAATAATATAACAAGTCATAACATTTTAACAAAAGTCTAACGTATCATTTAACGACCGTATCAACGTCTTCAGTTTCTTTTACACCATTCCGTTAGTATTCCGCGTTTCACCCGTGCACTTTTTCCCAAAAATTCGTAAAATCCGCAGTCCGTTAAATCGTTCGTGGACGTCGAGCTTCACGGACGCGGACATTTTGCGGCGGCGGTTCACGAACCCCGGGTAAAGCGTCCCGAGAGCAAGTGTACCGCGGAGCCGCACGAACTGCAACGCGTCGTGAACCGAATCGGCAAGTGTCGATGAATTGACGCGAGGTTCGCGAGATTCCCGCGCGGGCAGCGTCCGGTTATTATATAGTTTCTTGCGTAAATGAAATCGAGGGAACGAACGGGATCGCGGGAGGTCACTTTATGAAACGATCCGACGGACGCTTCTAACGCGAGGGTTGTTACTAATTTTTCTATCCCACGCCTCGGATTTACCAACCGCGCGTATTTCCCCATAATACGTGGAACAACTTATGGCTGTCGTACCGGACTCGATCGTGTTTTCTCTATTGCGAATAGCGTGCACTCGTCCGCATCGATATTTCCGATCTTCCACTACACTCTTTTGAACAGAACTCGAGGTTATTTTTCATTATTTCATTATTATTATTATTATTATTATTATTATTATATTATATTAGTAGATATTCGTATATTAATATATATTATTATATATTATTATTATATTATAATATATTATTTCATTATTATCATTATTATATTATATTATATTAATATATATTAGTACATATTTGTACACTAATATATATTATTATTATTATTATTATTATTATATTATTATATTATTACTTAGAATAGAATTTCGCAACGTTATTACAGTCGGTAAAGATTTATCGTATTAATTGAAGGACTCGCGGTTATCTTATCTTTTCTTTACTCATTCTAGTACTCCGCATCGAGCCGTTCTGTATATTTTATAAGCAACGGATAATCTGTCGTGCATACGAGATAAATAAATAAATGAACAAATAATCCCGCGCGTTGCGGCGCGGGAGTTCTCGCGGGCGTTTTCTCCGATTCCTGGCGGGAATTCGCGAATGTGTGCCACCGCCGACGCACGGGCTCGTACTGAACGCGTGCAAATTGTTGCTCGTACCGCGAATGGCACCGACCATCCGCCGCGCGTCTACGGAAACTCCGCCGGTTAGATTCGCGCTTGCGCCCCGCCACGGTGTCGCGTCTGCGGGCACGGCAAACTTTCGGATTGATTGGGAAAAGATGTCCCGCGGGCGCGGGATCAATGGATCGTTCGCTCGCATCGTTGGGCGAGACCAGATCGTACAGCGATTTCTGGCGATTTCTGTGGCCGAACAGCGACCCGAAGCCATCGTGCACACGCGGACCATTGTTCTCGATCTTCTCGGAAAGTAAATATTTGTAATCTTCTTCAGGGAGAAACTCGATACTCGTCGCGCGTAAAATACAGCGACCGCCTAGCTATTTAACACGTTGAATGCCGCGAGGATCACCGGTGACCGGCACTTAACTTGGCGGTGACGCCATGATCGGGGCCCCACCGGTGACCGACGCGCCCGAATTGATAGAAATACATACAGCGTGTCCCGAGAATGTCTCGCGATCCGGAAATGGGAGGTTCCTGAGGTCGTTCGAAGCAACTTTTTCCTCAGCGAAAATGCGATCCGCGGCCTGTCTCTTATACACATCTAGATGTGTATAAGAGACAGTTATATATATTTATATATATAATTATATATATAAATATATATAACTGTCTCTTATACACATCTAGATGTGTATAAGAGACAGTTATATATATTTATATATATAATTATATATATAAATATATATAACTGTCTCTTATACACATCTAGATGTGTATAAGAGACAGTTATATATATTTATATATATAATTATATATATAAATATATATAACTGTCTCTTATACACATCTAGATGTGTATAAGAGACAGTTATATATATTTATATATATAATTATATATATAAATATATATAACTGTCTCTTATACACATCTAGATGTGTATAAGAGACAGTTATATATATTTATATATATAATTATATATATAAATATATATAACTGTCTCTTATACACATCTAGATGTGTATAAGAGACAGTTATATATATTTATATATATAATTATATATATAAATATATATAACTGTCTCTTATACACATCTAGATGTGTATAAGAGACAGGCCGCGGATCGCATTTTCGCTGAGGAAAAAGTTGCTTCGAATCGTCTCGGGAATCTCCTACTTTCGGATTGCGAGACATTTTTGCGACACCTTGTGCATGTATGCGTTCTCCGAGTAGAAAACGGTACGAATTTACAGGCATATGCGGCGCTCGCTAACTACGCTAAAATTGTCGATTGACGAAGATCGAACGAACGGTGCCGTTAAACAACGGTGCATCGGTCGCTCTCTGCGAAACGTTCACGTTCGGTGGCCCGCGAACGTCTCGCCAACGTGTGGCTGTTGCGAACACCTTGTGCGCCGCGCACGATACCGATGTCCGACAGTTCCATACTTTAGGGGAGAAGTGCCCCGGTGAGCACGATACCCCGTGTGTGCACGCGTTCACACGCACGGTTTTTCGTCTCCGCGTTCAGGGAGTATGGGAAAACGGTTCCGTCGAATTAGCGAGGTTTCGTGAATTCACGCCGCGTGCGTCTACGCTGCGTCAATAAACGCGAATCTATTTACGTTGCCACAGGCCGTAAAATATTTTTATCGGGGAAATATCTACGCGAACAACGACGACGATGACGACGACGGCAAGATGAACGAAAACGAAAGACACGTTGAACAAATGTCCCGAAACTATGCATAATGTGTAACGCGTGAACGCTTATTAGCTCGAATAATATAAACGCGGCGTAACATTTCGCCTAAAATTAGTGTACTTTCCGTTTTCGATTCTGTCCATTCGTAACGTAAACGAGCCTTCGAGGTAAAGGTCAAACGCGAGGGAAGTTCTCGAAATCTTCAAAGAGGATCCGGTTGGACACGGAGTATAAACATTGTGGTGTTTCACTGCATGTACATACAGTAAATTCTTCTTAGTTGAGACGCTCAAGATTGTACACACAAACAGTGTGGACAATTTGGGTAGAGAGGGGGTACGATTATTCGAGCCTTGCTGCACACGTTTTTACAGTTGCCCGGCTTCGAAATATTCTAAACTTCTTGAATTGATTCCCCCCCCCCCCATTTCCGTATTACGAAACATTTTTGGGACACCCTGTATATTAGGTTGGGGAATAAGTTCGTAGCGTTTTTATATTTTATTATTTTTTATATGATATATATATAATTTATAGTATTATATAGTATTATATATATATAATTTATAGTAATTTACCGATATAATATATTCGAAAGTATCATAAAATAACGAGCGACAACGTCTACATAAATTCTTCTCAATCGACGCGAACGCGATTCGCGAGATTTCGAGAATGTCCAAGAATTTCCTCGTACAACCAAGAAAGAAAAAAGAAGAAAAAACGAAAGCATATATCGGTTCACGATGACGGGATTTAAATCATCGGAGCGGGGCTCGCGAACGTGCAACGCCGGGACGACGTGCAACGCGGCAAGCAATACGGTGCCTCTGCCACGGACTGTGCCACCGCTTTTAAGCTACCGGGAGAGCTCCTCGTCGACGACCACTTTTCCTTTTTTATTTGTTTCTTGACCAACATCTGTCCGCCATACCTTGCTGTACCGCATTACGTTGACGCAGCCCGTGCACGACACGCGGATCCGACAACTCCGACGTTATGGTGCAAGGTGCACCCCGTCTGCCGCGGCGGCGGCGGGTAGCGGGGTGGGGCGGGGAGGTGGAAGCGCGGAGAATTTCTCGGAGAAAAAGCGCCTCGAGGACCGTATCATCGGACGCGCGTCGCCCGATGTTTGATTTAAAGGCTACGGGCGAACTTTTTCGATCGCGGAATCGCGAACGATCGACCAAACAAATACGTACGTACGTGCATCGTCGAAGGAGTAGTCGGTGTCCCATGGACAAGCCGACATTGGCACCGGAAATGGCCTACAAAAGCGATCCGCGTGCCTGTAATTTCATTTTACCGATATATTTCGGAATTATTTTTCTGTACTCATCGCCAACCTTTTTCTTAGCCGGCAAAATATCGTTCGGTTCGATCGCGCGCGCGCGATTCCAGAAGAACGGCCGACGTTAATTCGATCATTTCATTCCGCGTGAATAAGGATTTTCACGGTCGGGGTTCGACCGTCCGTTTCATTTTAACGCGCCGAGGTAATTCTACGATATCGAATAGATTTAGGATATCTTATTTGTTTCGCTCGGTCGAAACGTTATTGCATTTTGAAAAGTGTCCAAATATTAAGCCTTTGCACTCGAAGCCATTTTAACTGTAAATCTAGATTGATTTTGTTGACCTATACCAAATAACTTATACTAACTAAGTGACTTATATTATACTACTTATACTACTAAGTGACTTATATTATACTACTTATACTACTAAGTTACTTATATTTTACTACTTATACTACTAAGTGACTTATATTATACTACTTATACTACTAAGTGACTTATATTATACTACTTATACTACTAAGTTACTTATATTTTACTACTTATACTACTAAGTGACTTATATTATACTACTTATACTACTAAGTGACTTATATTATACTACTTATACTACTAAGTTACTTATATTATACTACTTATACTAC